TTTTGAGACAAAGTCTCTTGTCACCCAGGGTAGGGTATCTTGGCATCATCATAGCTCACAGTAACCTTAAGATGCTCAAGATGCGCTTGAGCATCTTGCCTTAGCCTCCTGAGTAGCTTGGATTACAGGTGCCCACAACAATGCCTGGCTAGTTTTTCTATTTAGCAGAGCCCGGGTCTCACTCTTGCTCAGGCTGGTCTTGACCTCTTGAATTCAGGCAATCTACCCGCCTCGCAGAATGCTAGGATTACAGGCATGAGCTACTGTGTCAGGCTTAGTCAGATAATTAATTAATTAATTGATTTTTTAGTCAGATAATTTAAAGTGAACTCCTGAGTTAGACTAATTCAGAGCCTTGAATGAATTAATGCAAAATAATGGCCTAAGTATTATCTGTGAGTGTCTCAGCTTTGTGACAGAAATAACTTTTTGCAGATGATCTGGGTTTGGATTTGGGCTGGGGATTGAAGTAGGGCTATAGTTAGCTTATGGACTCTTTTTTTTTTTTTTCCTTAGAGTCTCACTTTATTGCCCTTGGTAGAATGCCATGGCATCACAGCCCACAGCAACCTCCAGCTCTTGGGCTTAGGTGATTCTCTTACCTCAGCCTCCCAAGTAGCTGGGACTACAGGCACTCGCCACAATGCCTGGCTATTTTTTGTTGCAGTTTGGCCAAGGCCGGGTTTGAACCCGCCACCCTTGGTATATGGGGTCGGTGCCCTACTCACTGATCCACAGGCGCTGCCCACACTTATGGACTCTTAAAGTCACATGCTTATCCAACCCTAGCTTCGAATTCCTGAGCTTGAACCACGTTAGCCACTTAGTAGCTGGTACTACATTGTACCTGGCTAATTTGAAAAAAAAAATTTTTTTTTTTTTTGGAGACAGTCTTACTACATTGCCCTTGGTAGGGTAGCAACCTCAAACTCTTGGGCTTAAGCGATTCTCTTGCCTCAGCCTCCCAAGTAGCTGGGACTACAGGAGCCCTCCGCAATGCCCAGCTATTTTTTTGTTGCAGCTGTCGTT